TGAGGCTGTTATAGCCGCCAGAGCCATCAAAACTGATGGGGCTGTTAAAACTGCCGGGGGCAGATAATTAAAGTATGGAGGTGGCAAGTTATCTAGTGGTTACCATTCATCATCTTTCTCTGTCCCCTCCATGTTCTTATCTCCTTTTTCTTCGGATTTTTCATCCTTTTTTAGTGTAAGTATTGAAGTTGGATAAGGACTTGAAGTCCTGATCCACAATTAAACATAATCGCTTTATTCTTGACTAAAAGATTTTTATTTTTTTTTTTTGAGTAAACTTATGTACTGAAAGCTTGGCAAATCCAGTCTTCAAAATATCCAAAAGTAGGCCAGAAGACATGTGGTTTTAAAGGTTTCTTTGGCCATTCAACCATACAATATTGGACTAATTTTAATTTACTTTTTCCTTTTCTAGGACCACTTTCATACCAGTTTCTAATCATTATGCCTAATGGACTAACTGGTGGTATATCTGGTAATTTAGTCATTTTTTCTGGTCCCGGGGTTTTGATTCCTTTTGACCCATCTAGGGGTTTTACTGTGGCAACTCATACAATCCTTGTAGGGGGTTGGATCTAAGGACTTGGGCCTCTTACCCATCCATGTATCCTTTGGGAATTTTCTAAGCCAATTCCTCTCGTCTTGGGAATTTTCTATGGCAATTCCTCTTGCCTTGGGAATGTAATAAACTGTTGTAACTAATTTGCTAAGTTAAGCAAGGCAGGTATGATAGGTTTGAATGATCTGTAAATGTTAAACCACACTATCCTGCTGTCTAAAAGTATTGTAAAAATAGAATATGGTACCCTGTGTGGGTTTTGAAATGATTTGCAGTTATTATAACCTATATTACAATGAATGTTTGAATACATATGGATAAAATATAAAGTATGCCATTCGGCTGGAAAAATGTAACTACTTCTCAGAAACCCCATCACCTAGAGATAACATGTAACTGCTGCTTGAAGAAAAGCACGCCAAAAGATGTGATCATGAGACTTTCAAAGGATCCAATGGAGAAAGAGCAGGACAATCATTTGACAAGAAGAGGATTGGTTAAGACGGTGGTACAGGAGTATAAAAGACGCTGCTTTTTAGAACTCGGTGTGTTTCTTGGTGGAGCAGAGACTCCCGGCACACCCAGCTCTGCTTTGTCTATTGTTTCTCACCCTAAATCAAATTAACCCAATTAAAAAAAATATTTATATTTAAAATTGGCTCGTTTGATTATAACAGGAATTTTCTACAGCAATTCCTCTCGCCTTGGGAATTTTCTACGGCAATTCCTCTCACCCTTGGTTACCGGAGAGAGTGTCCTGTGGGGGGGCTGAACCCTTTACCCACCCACATACCCCTAGAAACCATGTTCCCACCCACAAGTTCTATAGGATCCTCTTCGGTCCTTCACCGGCCAAATACCTTGCGGGAGTTTGGAACCACGGTTAGAAGACCTCCACACTCGATTCAAAACTCAAATCCTGGCTCCAAAACTACTTTCGTTTCCAGAATGAGGTTCCATCTCAATCACACTCTCACACACAAGCAACTGAATCCCACCCAACCGAACGGTATGCCTTATACTCATGACTCTGTTGTCTTCGTTCAGATCTTCGTGCACCAGAATTAGGGGTATTTGATACTGCAGTCTTTCCTTTGGAGCTCCAATTCCTTTGACTATTGCTTCTCTTTTGTCCATTGATCTCTGGAGACTGACCCAGACTGCTACTTTCAAGCCACAATCTGTGGGGCGCCCCTTGAGAAGCCACAGTCCAGGAAAGCACACTGAGATCACGTCGGGGTCACCAAATTGTTATAATCAGACAAAGCCAATTTTTATAAAATATATTTTTATTTAGGTTCAATAGATTTAGGGTGGGAAGCAATAGGCAAAGCAGTGCTGGGTGCATGGAGAGCCACAACTGTGCCATACACACACCGAGTTCTAAAAAGCAGCGTTTTTTATACTCTTGTGCCATCATCTTTAACCAATCTCCTCCCATCAGATAGTTGTCCTGCTCTTTTCCATTGGGTCATTTGGGTTGCTGGGGTGCATGTCCTCCTCCTTTTGGGTCTTTTGAAAGTCTCGAAGCCTTGGTCTCCTGGTGTGCTTTGCTCCTATTGGATCTTAAAAGCCTCATAATCTCATCCTTTTGGCGGGCTTTTCTTCAAACAGCAGTTACATATCAGCTGTAGGTGGGGTTTCTGAGACAGGTTACATTGTTCCAACCAAATGGCACACTTTCCATTTAATTATTTAACATTTGCAGATCATTCAAGCGTACCTACCTGCCTTGCCCAACATAGCAAATTAGTTACAGTAGTTTATTACAGCACCCGCCTTGCTTAACTTAGCAAATTAGGTACAATAGTTTGTTACATCTGTAAGTCCCATATGGACAGGGGTGTGTGTCCTATCACTGCACAAGGACGTGGTTCTCGTGAGAGTTAGTCAGTCACACCCCAAGCACATGAATAGAAGGAGTATAAATCAGGGGACAATGGGGAGGGGACATGGAGTGTCAGGTCACATGATGCAGCATTTTCTTCTCAGACCTAAGGTGGGGGATCAGAGGAGCTTTGTTACCCCAAAGGACTTGTTTTCATTGACAGGTTGAAAGTACCTTTGACAGAAACATGCATGCCACAGGGGAAGGGGAAAGGCTGTTCCTATTTGTCCCCTTCCCCCACTGCTGTAGCTTGCTAGACCACAGTGAGTCCCCATGCAGAGAGTCTGTTCTCTGACAACTCCTTGGGGATCGGGAATAGGGGTTGCTGCAGATTAACCCTGGTAGGCAGCTAAGCACCACACAGCTGCATGGTCACTCCCCCTTCCTTGCCCAGTGGGACAAGGGAAAGAGGAAAGGAAGACTAAACCCAAGAATATTTGTGATTTGAGATAAAAATAGCTTAATAAGTGAAGAAGGTGAAGAAGAGAGAAAGAGAACAAAACAAGCAATGCAAAGGCAGTCACTTACCACATCCCAGAGGTAGACCAGCACAGCCAGTTTCTGAGCAAAAGATGGTTGACCCATCTTGCTGAGCATGATGGTAATTACGTGGCATGGAATAACTCTTTGTTTAGTTCAGGTCATCTGCCTGCTGTGCGCCCTTCCAACCTCCAGTCCACTCACAGTATAATCACATCTAAAACACAGCATCATATGAGCTGCTATGAGGAAAATTAAGTCCATCCCAGCATCAGCTAGCACAGGGGTTCTTCCCTAGACTTATTTTATTCATCCCAGTTTAGCTGTCTATGGAGCAGACCCAGGAGGCTTTGCAAACTTGTTGTGCTTGTGCTTTGTTTTACTCCAGAGAGCCTACCAGGAGGCTTGCTGAGGCCTGCATGCTGTGGTGCTAGGCTTGGGAGGCTTAAAAAATAGTAACACAGAGGTTTGATGTTCAGGAGCTTATTTTTCCTCCACAGTTTTAGAGAGCTCCTTCCTACTCCTCTGTTATTTTGGAGCAGTGTTGCTAGTAATTTTCCTAGTTCCCACAGACTGTGAGCAGATGCACAGATCATGCTAAATTCCTTTGGCATTTTATTGCACTTCATGTCAGAGGGCAGTACACTAGGCTGCAAGCAAACAGCAGAAAAGGGGAAAGACCACTGAAGATGTCAGAACAACTCAAAGCACTGTTCCTGCCTGCTGATCTGCTTTCACTGGAAGTATCCCTTTTGCAGCTCGGAACTCACTACAGTGTTTGCATTCCCTTCATGACACCAGGGCAATGTGTGGATGCAGGTATTATACTGTGGCAGCCTGAGTTTAGCCAGGGTAAAATGCATAAAGCAACAAGTTGTGCCAGTTCCCTGGGGGTCTCTTGGACACAGGAGAGCAGGTGCTGGGGAAAGTTACTTGTCTTGGTGTCAAAATAGGAAGTGAGCAGAGTAGAAACTTGGGTCCCTATGTGACATTGTTCCTAAGAAGTCTCTGCTGACATCAACTAGCTTAGGACTTCAGAGATTTCAGGCAGAAACTATCAAAAGTAGTTGTAGCCTAAGAGATGATATTTTGACTAGTGATTTTGTTTGCTGGATGCAGTTACTCTGTGCAGTCCTTGTGATGTGCCATCAGCCAGGCACATGTGAAAATCTTTTTTGGTGCTTTTAGCTAAGAAGACATGAGAACCATTGTGCAAGGTCCATCAGCTGGTTCATCCCTGTATCTAAGGTTGTATAAAATCATCTGGAAGGACACAGCCTGTGCTTCTGAATGCAGGACATAGGACCAGTATGCTGTGCACTGGATATGTGTCTTGTGAGCCTGACTGAAGCTAGGAGTCTCATCTCTCAGAAATCTGTGCTTTTACAGTGTTCTCACATGAGTGAGTAGGGGCATCCAGGCAATCCCTAAAGGAATGTTTCTGGAGTTCGTTCCTCAGAATGAATTATATATGTTGCCTGCCAGTGTTGCAAACACAGTGTCTCCACTGCTAGGAAGCAGCTCTTTCATTTACACCTGTAAAGAAAGTAATGCTTAACCAGAAATACTTGGGGTTAGCATAAGTATTTGCATATTATCACTGTTGTGAGGGAGTGAGTGCATGAGGTGATGTGTTTTACTAGCAGAGAAGTTTTGCTCTGTGGTCTTTGTCAGTCTTTGAGGAAGGGAATGAGGTCTAGGATGCAAATTAAACTGACAAGGCTTATCCCTAGTAGAACTTCTGAATCTTCAAGTGGTGCAAAACCCCTTTGGACCTTCAGGGAAGACTGGGAAATTGTGGCTGTAGTGGATGGCGTAACATGAGTGTCCTGCTCCATGCAAGAACATTTATCTGCTTGCTTGGATGTACCTGTGCTGAGGGACTTCCAGATCTGGAATCTCCAGCTTTTGCTGGGAGCCCATCCCATTTTCTTCTGACTCTGTCATAATAAATTAAATAAAAATGTCAGAAAAATAGCAGTGTCGCCCATGAAGCAACTCTTATGCTCATTTTGTCAACCTTGCAGTGTTTCAATGTCATGATGACCTGGGGATGTAGCAGTGAGCTGGTACATGTGCATGCAGATGCTTTTTACTGGGTCCCAGCTGCAGAACAGGACACTGATAACAGCTACAGCTCTGGAGCTAGCTTATCTGGTATTAATTGAGAGGCTCTGTTATAACACTAGTGCACTGAGAGCATTGCCTAGATCTTTCATGGTACTGATGACAAAAATGGATCACCAAGTGCACCAAAACTGTTCATCCTGCTGGACGGAGGAAAGCCAATTTCAGAGGTCTGAGGATGAGAAACTGTGGAGCTAGACACAGCAGAATATTAACTGTGCTGTTCTGCTCAGTGCATCTCAGGGAACGCCACAAGTATCACAGATACCATGATTACCAGCCAAGCTATTAAAATTTGTTCTTGCAGGCAGTCAGACTACAGCATCACTGTAGTAATACTGAGGTACTTCTGATAAGTCTTTTGTACACTGGGAAGCATCCTGAACATTCACTGGATTTTGACTCTAGACGGAGCCTCCCACTGATCCTCTTAATAAAAGTAGTTGGTTAGCTGTCATTCTACTGCTAAATACGTGAGTATGTAGTCTTGAAATGCATAGTGCCATAGATTTAAAGAATTAAACTTTTTTTCACCATAGGTTTCCCTTTCCTTGTGAAGCTGGTACTAATTAGCACAACTTTCCAAATCTTACCAGTATAATCACCACGAGAGGGTAAAATGTTGGAATCCTTATGTTTCATCACTACTGGCCTTAATAAGACTCAGAAACTGGGTGTTTCAGTGACATGCTCCCCTATATGGAAAGTAAACTGGATACTGATTTCTGATTTTTACAGATAGTGTTATGAAACAGTGTTTTATTTTATTTTGTTGCTGTATAGGAACTTATGGTGTTGTGTTCAAAGGATCTAGAAGAGAGAGAAGAACATGAAGCTGGTAATAGAAGGAGTGTAGAGCAGGCTGCTGATGATCTGAAGGTAAAGCGTGGTTTGCTTCTCCAGTGGATGGTCATTTTCCAAGGAGAGACGTTTTGCTTTTTTCTGTGGCTATTAAAGATCCAGGCAGCTGTTTCCTCTCAGGAAAAGAGTGTATTTCCCATACCATCACAACACATTACTGTCAAAGGGAGAAAAGAACAAGAGTCTCCAAAGGCCTGCCCCCCAGTCTCTGAACAGCTGAACATCTCTGGAAGAACAATGTTGAAATTTTTGTACAGAGGAATAAATAGCCTTAGTCACATGTTGTTCTGGCTTCACTGATGTATTGCACTGACCTGTATTATTGAATAGTCTGACTTCAGAGTTAAGTAAACACAAGAACAGCTCTGTTGATTCTGTCTTAAGTGTGGGAATGTATGCTAAGCTCCACCTCATTTATAGAGTATGAAATGGTTTTTGCTCTAAGAAGAAGCTCTAATTATCTCTATTTCAGAAATGTGAGTAAGAGCTGAAAGGAGTTTTGTAGAGGTTTGGGAAATTGTGGTTTAATGCCACTTTGTTTTGGAGGCTTTAATTTCCTCGAAGCTCCCTGCCACTAACTTGCTTTAAAAGGGGACAAAGCATTGCTATCGAAGGACCAGGTCTGCTGCTTCTAGCAGTTAGTACCTGACTCGCTTACATTCCAGCTGAAAACACCATTTTCTACATAAATAAGCATTTTGGAATCTGCCCTCAAGCTTTTCCAGGCAAATCCCGGCTGCACTCCCTTAAGAGGTAAACACCCATTTCCCAAAAGATGCAGCTAATTAATAAAATTCAGCCAAAATGTAACTATGAAAACCTGGGAGAGAAATGACTGAAATGTTTATGGTCTGTTGAGTATGGGAGGGACACTCTTTTGCTTCATTTATAGGCACATGCCATTATGAGCAAAAGGCAGATGTCAGACAAAGTAACAGAGCTCCAGTTACTACTTCAGAATGAGGAGAATCTGACAAAAAACTTCATTGATGAAAAGACTCAGTAAACCCTGGAAGCACATGATCAGCAGTTGGAGTCCTGTCGAGAAAAGCTTGCAGCCCTGGAGAACTTCTCATGTTGAGTTGGACAAATACAACAGCACAGTGATCCTATTCAGTTGCTGGAGGTTGTATTGTATGGTCTCTTTCTACCTCTTATCCTCATAGTCCTTGGTAAATTGCTCTAGTAATCTCTGCAGATCCTTCTGTATGCAAGCAGCATCTTTCTTGCTGCATTTTAATCTTCTGTTGGTATTTTGGTGAACCACTTTGGTTCCTGATCTTTGAGCTCTTAGGTGTTCCTGCTATGACATTGATTTAACATCTGCATGAAATTCATGTTAATTTTAAGCATATATGGAACAGTTATACATGTCTCTTAATCTTGAAGACAAACACTGTAACAGGTCTGTCCTTGTGCAGTGTACTATGAAGGTCTGAGGAAAGGCATCTCTCTTGGGAACCTTAGGAGGAAGGCTAAATTGTTTAATTTCGTTAATCACAAGAGATCCTAATCACCCTCAGCAATAGCCATCGTTTTAATGAAGGGATCAGTGTTTTTCTTTTTGCCTGCATATAAATGTCAGCCTCTCTTAATGATCTTCACCTTCCTTGAGAACAGTGTGTTGCCATGTGCTTATGTCCTGACACAAGCCAAAGGATGCTTTTCATTATAGGATGGCCTGTGGTGCATTTTTACATTCTTGCAACTTAGCAGACTTGAGAGTTTGCACTGTGACTGATATGGTCCTGGCATTCAGCTGTGTATGCTAGCAACATGCCTCCAGATGGGAAGCTGCTCTTCATGTCTTCAGAGAGGTCTTTTGTGCAGGAGGTTGGATTTATTCTTTAAATTGCTTTTAAAGCTTAGTGGTTTAATTTTCCCATTGTTGGGATTTACCACAAAGGGTCCTAGCTAGGTTAAACTCATTCCCATTTTGGAGTGTCCTGGAGGGCCCTGTTTTAAGCATGACTGCTGGGTTTTCCATCTCTGTGGTAGTCCCTGGCTTCACGGGCAGGAGGAGCTAATGGACAGTCTAATGAGCTAATAGGCAGGCTGAACACTGCAAGGCTTGCCTGTTATGGCCCATATGTTTACTTAGTGATGGAGCTGTCCTTGCTCAGTGGTGTGTGAAGCTGGGAGTGAAGAGTCTATTCATGACACTGTCTCTTCTAATTCAAGAATTTGACTTTCTGTCCTCAGAAACATATGGAAATCAAGAAAGAAATGCAGGAGCTCAGGCACCTGTTAGAACAGTGTCATCCAATACCTCTCTCATTTGAGCACAAACTTAATTATTGTAAGCACTTCATGACAATTCTTCAGCCTATTCTACAGAAACCACTAGAGGCCAGGCTTAAAGAAGGTACCTGTGAGAGTGCTGTGAATTTTGCTTTCTCCTGCTTTCCTTTTAAATGAAGTGTGATCTGTAAGTAAGAGCAGGACTTTTTACCAAATCACCTGGAGAAAACAGCAGCTTTTCAGGTGTGGATACCATTCTCTGACAACATTGGTGTAATGTTGCTATAGCAGTGGTGATTTAGAGGTTTCTTTTTCAATGCTGAAGATGGCCTTTTGTGCCTTAAATTTGTCTGCTGCTTTTTTCCAGCTCTATCAGTTATTTCAGTGCAGCTTATTTCTTCCTGCAGAGCTTATCTTGCTTATATCCCTAGACCATCACATCTACACAACATAGCTGTTCTTGATTTTCAGTCACTGTTGGGTGTAAGTGCTTTTGCAGGACATCTGGCAGGCATGGAACATCAGGTACCTGTAAAATTTGCAAGCTTTTTCTACTTGATGTACCTGGTGATCTTTCTGTCTCAGGCAGTCTGAAAAATTCTCTGTTTTTTGGTACTTTGCTGGTGGGTTAACATGTTCTGCTTAGAGCTCCTTTTGTCTTTGAGCTGGTGTTTCATCCTTAAGTGACCTTTGGCACGATTAAGGCAAGGATTTTCCTAATAGGACACAAAGCCACAAAGCCAGGGAAACCCTGCTGCTTATTGAGTTACAGGTGAGCAGAGCAACACCAGCCATCACATTTCACCCAGCTACCTTTTAATAATCCCTTTTCTGACAGCTGCCACCAAGAACAGTGTAGCAGGGTGCTGGGGAAAATGTTCAGACCAGATCTGAAAGGCCACTGCAGGATGTGTGGAGAATTGCTAGACAGTACCATGCAAGTGCTCTGTAGCTGGCATCTGCAGTTGTCTTCAGCTGCCTGACTGTTCTCATCTGATAGAGGAGGGCTTTTTGAGGTATGGGAGGTTCTTACTTGGGGTTTTGCTTGATTTTGTAGTCTTGTGGCAACACTGGAATCCAGCATCTCCAAGCTTAGCCAAAGAGCATAAGGTCAACAGCATACAGAGTGAGCAGCCCTTCCCGAGCAAAAGTAACACAGTTTGTCCCATGAAGTTGGAAAATGGAGTGTTACAGTATGTCCTTCCCCAGAAGGTAGAATTCACACTGAAGAGACAAAACTCAGATACCCTGTTCAGCAAAATTGCCTCTGTTTTATTTTTAAAATCTTCTTGACAGTACAACCATGTTCTTCCACTGGCAGACTCCCGGAACTGTCCCTTTGCATCTCCAACCAGATGTTTTCAGTAGCCTTAATGCCACTGCAAAGGAGCCTGGAACAGCGTTAAAAACCATGTCTCCTGTTGATTGGTTGCTTTTCTTAAAATGTAAGTATGATTGAACAAAAGTTAGAAGCACTCTGAACACTTACGGCTCTTTACTGAAACAGTCAATGAATGTGTGCTCCCACACGGTAAACGGTATCTTACCTTTAACATACCTTTTATTTTTGATGTTTAGAGTGTCTGCAAAGAACAAGTGCTTGGTGTTGCCTGAAAGTCATTGCCCTTTTCTGTACCTCAGATTGGGAAAGAAATTTTACTTCGTCTCTGAAATCTCAATCCTTTGTTTTTACTCAGGACTGCCTGTGTGTGAATCAGCTAGTGACTAATTTAGTTTCTGAAGATTTTTCTATTCCCCAGATCACTTTGGTCTGTCTTTAATTATATGTCCATCATGTAATGTCTTAAGGGTCAATCTTCAGGTGATCCTTTCTTCTAGTTTTGGTAGGAAAGATGTACAGTGAACTGTTCCATCTCTTTGATGGGAAGATGGACATTGCAGTGGCCTGCAGCAGATGAGGGCTGCAGCTGTTTAATCTCAAAGCCATAATGTTCCCTATTACTGTGGTACCTGGTGGCAAAGGCCTGTTGTAACAGAAGGTCTGTTTTCCAGCCTGGCTCCAGCCCAGTGGACACTATGACTGTGGCTAAGTAATACCCTGACTTCTGGTTGTTACTCAGTAGAGAAGGCAAGGGACAGTACTGTGTTGGTAGATTGGGTTACATTCTGTCCCTGCTCCTATAGGTTGTGTTCTAAGAGGGGTATTCTTCAGTGCTGTTACCTTGTCTTGTTTCTGTGCTCTCTTGAATGAGCTTCTATGTCCAAACACTGCAACTTTTTCATTCCAAACAGGTTATCTCAAATGGAGATGAGCAAACAGGTGTTGCACTTGTAAATGCAGCAGGTGTTAAATCAGAAATGCAACAAGGAAAGTCTGTCTTCTTGGCTGTGATATCATGGGTCTTTTCTCCCTTGTGTCATTCCTAAACTGCAGGATCCAGACTGAGTCAGTCACTTTGTAACTAGAACCTGTTAAGGTGCTACTAAGCAAGCACTTCAGCTTTTGGTTGGCAATGAACTAGACTACTGAGTTGCACAAATGCTGCTCTGTATCTCCTACTTCAGGCTGCCTCTTGATGAATTCATGGAGAAAGCACTATATTTGCTTCACATGTGAGCAGTCACTTTAAGGGCTGAAAAGACAAATTCTTAACTCTGTTAAAGCCAGATATGACATATCACCTAATTAAGAAAGATGTGCAGGTGCTCATAAGCCAGTGAAATTTAAAAATCTTAGTCATAAATATTTGGACTTAAAGTCACTTAAAATTTTCATTACTTAGAAAAAGTGGAAGAATTACAGTCCTACAATAATCCAAACAACTCTAGCTTGTTTTGCATTCTTTTTATAGTCAAATTCACATTTATGCTTCCAAACATTAGCACCTGGATGCAGTTCATTCCTTGGGTTTTTGTCCCTTTTTTTTTTTTTTTTAATCAATGGAGGTATTTCCATTTGCTTGAGATTTAGTAGTTACATATTTTACAAAAATCTAGGTTTTCAGGTAAATGTGACTGACACCCATTACTACTTATTGGCACAGCTTTTCAAGTGCTTACTGGAAAAAGCAGACACTGAAGCTAGGTCTTTTAAATCCTTCTTACTTTAAGTGTCTTTTGGTCTGTGTCACTTGTGTTCTGTACAAACCTATTGTCCCCATTGTTTACCTGCTGGAAGTGACTTGGAACAAAGACAGTCATAAATGAGAGTCAGTCATTCAGAAGATAGAATCCTGTAGCACGCTGTTTTAACTGCATGAATAATTCCTGTTTCCTGTGTTCTGTCACCAACTACGTGCACAGATGTGACTTAGGACCTATTCAGACCACATGAACACCAATATTAGCTTTTCTGGATGAAGTGTAGTGGAAATCACAAGATGTTGCATGTGTGAAATGTACTCCTGTAGTGGTATGGACAATACCAAAATTAAAATAATAAAGATTTTGTTTAGAAAATGATGCTGCTGCAGTTAATGCATATACAGGGCTATTTGCTTCTCCATTTTGTTGCAGTATATAGGTGCAGATTGCAGGGGGCAGAGTATCAGCAGTGGACTCCCTAGCACTATGACATGCATTTCACACATGAGCAACTCTGTCCACATGTCTCTGCCTCAAATGAAGCAACTGCTTAATTTCTGGTACCAGGTGTGTGCAGTGATCTTACCCAGATGATCTGTTAGGTAGGCTCTGTTGCCTACCTAACAGATGTTGCATCACTTGTGCCTGTATTTTAAACACAGATGATGTTAGAAGCCACAGCAAGGCAAGGAGGAGGTGTGGGGTCCAGCTGTATTTTATAACATATGCCTACCACTTCCTTTTCTGAAATTTCACAGACAATTATAGAGCATAAGTCTTTGTTGCAATTAACTGTGCAGTGAATGGGCCCTCACTTAATGCAAGATGTTTGCAAAAAGAGCATGTGGTGCTCTTAGAAAACTTAGAATCACAGAATGGTTTGGGTTGGAAGGAACATTAAAGATCACCTAGTTACAACTCCCTAGCCATGGACAGGGACACTGTCCATTCGACCAGGTTGCTCAAAACCCCATCCAAGCTGGCCTGGAATGCTTCCAGGGAGGGGGCAGGTTGGATGACCTTACAGTGCGTTCCCTGCTCATGGCAGAAAATTGTGGTAAAGTAACAGAGGACCAAGAGACAGTGGAGTGGTTTATGCACTGGTTTGACAGCAGAGGGGAGGACTCCAGCCTGAATGAAAACAGCTTCTGGGCTTTAGACAATGGAGTGTGCCAGCTAGCCCAGGTTAGACACTTTGAATTTATGGGAGAGGAGTCTATGTAAGAACACAGGAGAGGAAATAGCAACAAAGTCAAATAAGTGACAAATTAATTCAGTTGCAAAGACAGATTTATCTCATACAGTAATCTGATGTATAATTACCTTTCATTTCTAAATTCAACAATGAAGAGCAATGAAAATACTGAAGTTCGTTTCAATGGGTCTGTTGCCCCCCATTTTGTGTTTATTTAGTACTATGCTGCCTGTAAAGCACAGTGAAAGACTGCACTCTGTGGGATCACATGTCTAAACATGTAGTTCTGATATACTACACTGCACAGAAATCAAAGCAATATGGATTTCAAAATATTATAAACACTTGTTTCCCTTTCATTTAAAAAGGGATTTACTCACCCTGAAAAGCAGCTTCAGGATATTAAATGTATTTGTCATCTGGCATTTAAAACATCGTTTCAAAGTTTATCTAAACGAAGACTAAAATCATATATTAGGAAAAATTCCTTCACTGAAGGGGTTATGAAGCATTGGAACAGGCTGCCCAGGGAAGTGGCTGAGTCACTGTCCCTGGTGGTATTTAAAAGATGCGTATAAGTGGCACTTAAGGACAAGGTTTAGTGGACTTGGTAGTGTTAGGTTGTTGCATTTAAGGTGATGAACTTGACTCCCTGACTACAGTCACACCCCCACACTTGAATGTGGTCCTTACTTAAGGTCTTCAGGACCAGGGACAATGATTGAGTTCTCCCCCTCTAAAGGGATATAGTTAGTTAACTGAATCATTCTTATGCCAACAGTTTTCATTACAGTTGATTTTATATACTTAGGACAATTAGAAGCACAATGAACATTAATGCATATTGTATCAAATTTTGGATCCAACTGGTAATACCAAGTCCAAACAAACTGAACAATTTCAAAAGCCAGCTTGACTCTTGTAGCTTGCAGGTGTCTTCTGCTACTTGCTGTATCTTCTTTAGCTGTGTAACATTAGAGGTGTAAACACAGTAGTCAGTACTGCAGAGGTTTAAATAGCCACAAAGTCCATTTTGATGTATTAGCATTAAGTCTAGTGCCATGTAGTTCTGCAGAGATAATGTTGAGGTGGCTTGTAATTGAATGTTGAGCAGATACAGACTAGCTTTGGTAGCATCTCTACTTGATAATCTAATTTGCTTAATCATTTTCACATTCTCGTAGTGGCATATCCAAATGTCCAAAAACCTTCTAGTCCCCAGACCAGGTGAATGGCTGCTCATGGGTCTTGCCATCCCTCTACATTTCCATCTGGTGTTATTCTTGCCCACTTCATGCGAGTCATCCAGTGGGACCAGACAGGAGTCCTTTTCCACATAAGACACAAAGTCAGGATTCCCAAGGTGCACGGGAATGCAGACAACCCAACCCATAAAGAGGTGTACATACTGCTATCATTACAGGCCCAGATCAAACCAGCTGGAGCATCACCAGAGGCAACTCAGCAATCATTATGAGGCACAAAATCTGCACTGACCGCTTTGTCACCACTTGCATACATTACCATAATCCAGATCCACAGTTACTGGGGAGCCCCAGTTCCAGTGAGGATTTGGAAAGCCTTTCCTGTCAAGTGGGAAATCCTACGTGATACGTCCACCCCATAGGTGAGGCATCCAAAGTTGCTGCAAGCAGGTCCAGCCTTATATACCAAACATCATCAAGCCAGAATAGCTGGCACCTTTGTTTTGAGGGGAAAATATCTGGTTTCATTCTCCTGTTGGATTCCACCCAAAGCCTGGCCAGGGCTTGATGGGGGAAAACCAAGGGATTTTCTAACAAGGCTGAATACTTGGGTTCTCAGCCTTGAACAAGGCTGATACAGTAAAGCTGGATACATTTTCTCAGCATTTCGTCCTCACTACTGATTATATTCTGTCTAAGCTGCATTTTTCACTAGGAGCTTACATCATTAATGTCAGAAGCTTTGGCATGGGGCCTGTTGTTCAGGCTTCAATACTTCAACACTTCAGCAGTTTTACATCTGCATAGGTGGTTTGTTATAACCTAGTATAATACCTACTAGCACAATAGTTAACAGTTCTAAAATATACAGGATTCATCTGTAGGTCAACTCTGGCTTGGGCCTATTTTCCAAGTCCTAGCTCTTCAATTGGTCCTTTGACCTATAGGTGAATCATGGCTGTCAAACCATGTCATTTCTGTGGTTAGTGACATTAGTTTTTGTTCATCAATTGATGATGTCTTGTCCTAAAAACATTAATAAGACAATAAACATCGACACTATAAAAAAATTTTAAATTTAAATAAGGATCCCCCATTGTGACTCAGATATGTCTCCAGGGGAATTTACCTGCAAGAAAAGGAAAGAAAAGCTTCTTGGTTCATTTTGAGAACCGGAAGTGGGTTATAATTGGAAAGACAGGATAATCCATGTTTTGTGTTCCTTTCCATGAACATCTTTGGCTGTCCAGGTATACTTGTTTACTGGGGTATCCAATACCAGTTGGATACCAAGTGGGTACTGCTCCCACCAGGGGAGTTCAAGTATAACAGGTTGTTCTGGAAAATGAGATGGATTTCTGGGGTGGTCAGGGCTGGCATGATTGTTGGAGCTTTTGGACAGAATGCTGTCATCTTTGGGCATCCATTTATTGACACATTTAACTCCCCTTCTCCTTCCTGCAGAGGCCATAAATCTAAAGCCTACCTAGCTGTATTCACCTTCTCAACTGTGAACCACGGATATATTGATTTACATATTTGTCCTTTACTGACCTGCTTTAAAACCTATGCAACTTTTAAAGTATCAGTGCATGTATATAGTACAATGCTTTCTACTAAAAATGTCAGGTTTTTCCTTGCAAAACTGCAAGTTCCAAGACACTGCCAGCTGTGGGCTCCTTTGCAGGTGTTTTGTAACTTGGACTTCTTTCAAGAGTCCTGATGAAAGTAGCAAGGTTTTTTTTTAATGGTCTTGACTGCAGATGGAAGATCACCAACCTGGGAATATGACAGCTTTCACCCAAGGCTGAAATTGTCTGATGACCATCTTGTAGTAAAGCCGTAATTGGAAGAAGGTATTTTATCCTTGTGGTCCCCAAAGATTCAGTAAATTATGGCAAGTGTTGAGCAGAGATGCATTCCTCTCTGGAAGCCATTACTGGGAATATGACTTGCTTCATGAAGATGGAGCAGGATGGTGGATTGGCACAGCCTACCCTTCCATTGGTAGGAGACTCTGAAACCTGTCAACTGTGCTGGAACAGAGCATCTTGGTGCCTTAAGAAGTTTAATTATGAATACTGGGCATTTCACAAGGGGGAGAGAATCCCCATCCTTATAGAATACGATCCTGATTGCATTGGCATTTTTCTGGATTACAAAGCAAGAATCCTTTCATTCTACAGTGTTACTGATGGCATGGCTCATTTGCACACTTTCTGCTGCAAGTTCACAGAACTAGTTTACCCAGCCTTGAAGCTCTGGGAAGGGTCCATTGGAATATGCAAACTAACATAAGGAACAAAACAAAAAACACCTACTTTTTCTGTTAAAGCCATTTTAGCAATGATCTTCATGAACTAATCACTTGTCATATTAAAATTTTATGATGCTTTTAGAACATAACATTTCAATTCAAGAAAAACAACTTTAATTTTTAATGTATATGCATTTTTCAATGCGGGTGAAGGTGATCTGGCTTTTATAAATTATGTCAATGTAAAAGTGCCATATATATTTTTTGTACTTTTTTCAACTTGCAAAATGGAAGAAGTCTGGTTCAAAGCAGCATATTATAACTGAGATTTGAACCTGGATATTGCCATCTTTTTTTTTTTATTAACTCCCTCCCCTCAACTGCCTGGAGCAGCTGCTATTACCATATTGTGTATGGTAATATGTTTAGTTTGGTTCAAGCTTTAAGTTCATATATTGCATGTTGTTATAGTTGACAAGGTCAGATTTGGATAATAAATGCACTATGCTCATACTTAAGTATTGTCTTGGAGAAATCACAGATAGGCAGCAACTGTTGTAAAGGTCCCTTCAAGTAAAGCTGAAGTAGGGGCTTCTGTAGCCATGCTTAACAGCTGTTAGCTGGTCTTACTTATGACAAACTGAACTGGGTTTCTGGCGGGTCCTGTTCTTGCCACACAGAGTGGAAGTACAATAAAAAATTGTGTTAACACCTCCAGTAGAAGATGAAATGCCTAAGAGAACCACAGGTGCAATAAAAATACTAAGTCAGTGGGGCATTTGTGCTCAATTTATTTTTGTGTCCTATTTGCAAAGGCTCTTTAACTGCAGCTGGATAAAGATATGCTTCCATAAAACTAGGAGAGACAGCTTGCAAGTTTCTGTATAGGGAATTTTTCTTTTTTTTCCCCTCAAAACATTAATTAATAAATCCTGAAAATTTCTGGAGTCTATGTTTACAGCAGCCTCTAGGGTCAGCGCTGCTGGAGTGAAGAACCACTGCTACTTGAAAGGGGTCAGGTAATCCTACAAAATCATCACTGGTGCTGGCAAAGGTGAGACCATAGGTTGAAACACAGAAACAACAGCTTATTAAGCTTTTTTTTTTTTTCAAATTTTAAATTAAAAAAAAAAATCTTTTAACAGTTGAGTAGTTTGTCAGTGTAAGGCAAGCATACTGCAATCAATCAGAACTCACATAGGATCAAGCACATGATTTAAAGAATCTCTTCTTCCCAGTTTAAAGATATGAATAGAGTTTCCTATGAATTGAAGAAGGGTAAACATTTTGAAAGTAAACAACTCACAGGTACAGAAACACCACTACCAAATTCAAGATACTTCACCAACTCGTCACCAAGAGGTAGCAAGTTCCAAATAACCATCGCTAGTAAATAATTCCACAACAGAAAAATGCAGTTAAGTTACACTGAAGTAGTTTTGTGTTAATGAAACTAAATGAGGAATGCTTGGTTTGCAGCTGCTGCTATATGGCTTCTTCCTGGACAAAGGGAAGACCAGCAGTCTGACAGGATTGGGACTGCATTTCTCACTTGAAAAATGAGAAACTGTGATGCAAGGGCAGAGCACACAAGAGGAACATTGACAGTCAAGCAGACAGCCTCAGCTGTCTCAAACACTAGTGTCCCAACCCAATGTATTTGCTTGTTAGTACAGGAAAGAGGTTGCTGAATCTTCACCAGCATCTGGCTTCCTACTTGAGAAGCTGCCCCTACGAACAAATAGAGGTATCCAAATGCACTGCAGAATTAAGATTCCAGGCTTCATTCACCTCACAACAGATACTTTTGATATTTTTCTGAATTTTGAAGCATAGATTAAGTTTATTAACTTAACCACTGATCCATCTCAGATCTAGTTTTCCCCCTTTAATCTGTCTGGCTTGTCCTCTTGCCTTTCAGTTCACAAAAAGTACAATGAGGCTCTTTCTCTTGCACCTTGGGACCTTTCTACATATCCAATTTTCTTCCTTTCTTTGTACTGCCTCTTGAGCTTGAGAAAACTAGGTTCTCATTTTGCCCAGAGTGCAGATTCCTGAAACCCACCGCTTTATCTTGAGACTTTTTATCTTAAGGCTTTCATCTTGAGAAAAATCCATCAGGTTGTACGTATAGTTTTCTGTTCAGTGTTATGTGATCTTTCACTTATCTGCATTCAATTGCAACCAGCATCCTGTTAACACAGATGTGAGGAAAACACAGCAGAAAAGACAGGAACATCAAAAGATACAGGGTTAGAACACTTCAAAGTATAGATAAAATTGTTGTGATTTACTATATTCTTACCAGAAAAGGGAAGCTTTTGGAAAGCAGCAGACTTAGATTTGACAACACTCCAAGTTAATCTAGGTTAAGTGGAATAGAGAAAGGAGGAGTATATTTTCTAGACACAAGGCTATTCAGTTTCTAAAAAAAATTGCTCTTTGTAATTTATAGACACTTACTTCAGAAACTTCCTGCTAATAAGAATCTGAAAATTTTAACCGCTTGGATCCTCATAATTACACCCCTTAATTTACCATGCCGCTATACTTAAATATTTGTGCCATAGTGCAGTACTACATCATGAAATATGGACGGAGTGCTTTGGTTTAGCACTTCACTTTTTTGAGAGGATCTTCCACTGCTTGCTCAGTGATAGTTTCATCTTCTTCAACATTTTTTTTAACCTTCTGGCCCACCAGATCAAAGATGGCTTCTGGGGGAAATCCCTTAGGCTCTCCCACCTTCACTGTAAGCATGTCAAGTGTCAGTACTGCACCTTCAGGAATTGACACTTTTGCCACAACAGACTTTCCCAGCTATAAAGGAGAAAAAAAAAAAAAAAAAAAAAAAG